AAACACAGTGTTCTTTTATTGTTATGTTATTATTTTTTTGTCAATCCTTGACCCTCCGACAACGGCCATAATTAGTTGCGCTTTCACGTTTTTGGCTTTTATGACGCCATGGTACTAAGTGTAACCATATTTTGTCCGCAAAGTATATACATCAACCGAAAACGGTGAGAGAGAATAACAACGTTTTTAACACACATAAATAATAGTAAACTCGCTGCACTCAGAATGCAGTTAGGGTAAGTTTGTACCGATACGTCATTTATTATATTTTCCTAAACGCGTAAACCACTTAGTAGATATTTAAATAACACTTTGGTGTTTATATTTTAATTTGACAATTTATTAATATTTACAACAAGCCTCGCAGATTATACAGCTGTATCACTTTTACTTTCTTTATAATAGAAATACAAAAAATTCACTGGAGTTAAAGATTGATAGAAAACAATTGTGGGTTTGCTTTACTTAATCAATTTATTGGAATGATTTGATGGGGCGTAACACATTCGTGGCTTTAATCAGTATTTTTCACGACGGTGCAGCCCCGTGATACTTTACTTGCTATATCCAAGAGGTTAAATATAAGGGTCAATGCGAATTGAATTCTAAGACTGCGAACAACTAAACTGTATCAAATGGAACATCACATTATAAGAAGCGCATTGCGACGGCATTGTTGACGTAATAAAAATTACAGTTGGTTACTGCATAAAAAAAATTTATCAATATACTAAAGCTAGCACCATAGAAGACCTTGGAAAGTCGCCCATGGCATAAGTGCACTATAGTGCAAACGCTTTACTACCATAGGTCATGGATTTTTTTCATTTAATCAACAACTCATTTACTTCCTATTATTCATAACGTTTTTATAACGCGCACAATTTTCTTTAATTGGTCGAGTTTTTAATGATAGTGACCTATCAGCATAACATTAGCTTTAAATGGACTATCTCACAAGTAATTTCTTGCACAGATACTGTTAAATAGTGATAATTATTCTAACTCTACAATAGTAATTGATTTTCAGTTATTATTTTGACAGCTCTAATCATAATGCTAGCGAGAAGTAATGATCAATAATTATAGTTAATCTATCATAATTCTTTTTCACTGCAGTTTATTTATGACGAATATTAGTTACAACGTAAATACAAATTTCAGGTACTTAGTAGAAATAAACACAAAAAGGTGACGTAAGTGTTTAAAAATTTACCTTTACACGAGTGCACTGGACCACTTATATGTTTTTGGTCAATATCGGTAACATATTAAAGTTGTTAAGTTGGTGGTTTTTAGTTGAAAATTAATGCAGTGTACTTAAATGGTTATTACTATCTTAATCAAATTTATTCTAGAGTAAAAAAATAAAATGTGTCATTTTAATATATTGGACAATATAAATGGTTAAAATCTTAGACACGTGCCGAAAAACACTTGGTATTTTATTGTAAAGTCACCGCATAGTAACGTAATGTAAACGAAATGGGTATTTTTCTTCTTTCAGCTTACACCAAGATATGACGATAATGCGCTTTAGACGTGACCCGGGTGTGGTTTCCTGCATTTATAAATTTTTTATTATAAATAAAATGTTTAAAAACGTATTTTTACAATATGATTTTTAATTTATTTTCTTATTATATGTTTACTAAACATATTAAGTTGACAAAAAAATGTAACTATTTTTAGGTTGGTCTATTTTTGAAAACTTTTAAATTTAACGACCAACAGTTAAGTCACAACTTAATAGCTAATAAGAAGCGAACAGTCCATACCTAATGAAACACCAACGGAATAATTAAAATGTGTAATAATATAAGAACCGTGATCACAAATTTACGATTTATGTTTAATAGTTTTGTGCGCAGAACGGTAACATTAGACTCTTGTGTGTTTTTAGAAGACGTTTCAAATGGTAGCGGTGCGGTAAGTTTGTAGTATTTTTAGGCCCCAGCAGCAGCAGCCGACCGCATCATTATTCTATGTGGAGCGCACGCGTTTAGATGATGGTAAGAATAATTTTATACACAGACCCTGCAGGGCCAGTTGATGACGCACGTCTGGCTACTGACACAACATATTCGATTTTAAGGTCATCTCAAAATGTATTGAAATACAACAATAAGTACGAAAAAGTTATTAAAACAAATGTTTCCTCCAAGATATGACAGAAAATTGCATTTCGAACTTAATTTTTACAATATTTTAAATATTTCAGTATTCTGTTGTTAAATTCTATGCTTCTGTTAATTTTTTTTATGTATTGCGACCTTTTGTTTTGGAATTACGCAAAGTATGCGCTCCAAAAAATCACTACTTCCTTAAAAATCTATAATTATAATTACACATATTTTTAATTGTAATCGATTACAACATATATTTTCAAAATCAATTGTTTTAGAATATTAAAATAAGAAATAAATTTACCATGTATTTCAAATTTCATAAGAAAATGTGGCTCTTGATAAAATGAGTAATTCGTCCTCTTTAAAGTACAGAAATAAATTTAAATAATACATTAGTATTTACTCTTTTTGCAGCCAGTGATTACAGTTGTCAACATTAACAACTTCAAAAGTATATATAAATCGTTTTTACGAGACAAATATCAAATAAATTCTACTACGATACAAAAATTCAAAGCTGAAAATAAACTTGAAAATTTTATTTATAAATTTGACTTGTTTCCTATATACTTAAGTGTCTGCATATTTTACTGTAATTAAGTCAACCTTTTAAACAATTGTTTTTAGTTAGTTGTTTTATGTGATTGTTAGCAGTTAAAAGTACAAAAAAAAATTTGATATCTCATAAAGTTTTTATTAAAATTATGTTAAGTCTTAGTTAGGTGCATTTGTTTATTTTTACTGTTGTAATAACTTTATTCGTACAACGTATTATTTACTTGGTTGACACTCGGCAAGAAAACAAAAACGTTAGAGGTGAACGGGTTACATTTCAATAACGTATAAAAAAATAACTGATTAAGTATATATCGCACAAACCCAAACGATGATTATAGTTTATGAAGAGGTTTATTTATCGAAATAGAATCGTAGTAATATAACATAAGGTAAATGTAAGAGTATAATACAACAAATGCAAATTTAAGTAGAGTTTTAAAAATAAAATTACTTTAAGAGACATTGTAAAGCAGTTCTAAACATATGATCAATAGCGAACAATTTACTGACAAAATGATTTATTGTACAATCATTATATACTTAATCAAACAAATAATTAAATAGAATTTATCGTTAAAGTTTACCTTTATATTTTATTTTAATAAATCCAACAGTTACATAAATAAATATTGAAGGGAGTATAAATATACAGAAATTAAATTTAAAACAAAATCTCTTGAGGAGGGAAATCATTAAAAACATTGGGACGAACAGTATAGTAGTAAATTTAAAATGTATAGGAGCTAAACAAATTTTGAGGACTACAATAACCTGAGGCTATGAAAATCAATTGAAGCTTAGCTAGTTTTAATTAATACATTTTATTTATTTAATAACAGCAGAAAGTTTCAAAGTATATCGAGTGAAAAATAATTTTAGGCAAAGCAAGTTATAAGTAATGATTATGTCCCGCAATTATATGCAATTTTGTTTAAGCCTTGTTGAAAGGTCCCAAATTTATGCAACTTTATCGTAGGATTTATAGTAGTTTAGAAATATTTATCGTTTTAAGTGGATAAACCTCTCTAATGCCCCTCCCTTATTATAACCTCTGTAACAGCACAATACTAAGTTTTCAAGTCAATTAATAAAGATTTGCACAGGCAGATGGTTTATTGAGAATAACTTAAAAATATGTATAAATGCATATGATTCCTAGTAATAATATTAACTAAATACAATGTTCAGTATTTACTGTTGGACTTAGGTAAGCTTAGCTAAATCGAGTAGGTTATTCGTATATTTATTATATTAAGAGCTGTTATATCTGTTGAAAAATAATTTTTTGTGTATGGTCTCTAAAAAGGAACAACGGCGTATTCCTTGTTTATGGTCTTTGACTAGACTTGTCTGACATTTGCTTACTTATTCTAAACAATTTCAATCTCTGTCAAATCCAGAATTGTTTTGAAACTTTATCATGCGTGGACCATGGCGTAACTGCGGGAGGTCAATTAATCATTTGACAATAGTAATACTAGTATTGCTCACTAGAATACCGTTGGACGGGTCTGAAGATGAATATCGCGCAAACCACATGAGAATAAACAAATACCATTCAGTATATTCGTACGTTTTTTTAAGGAATGTACAAATTGAAAACGATACTTCAAGTAGCAAGAAAACTCATTTGAAAAATGACTGCGAAATACTGAATTAACACACTCGAAATGTATTCTTTTTAGCTATTTAAATTAATTCAACATTCGATCTAAAAAAATTTTTTTTATTTTAACTGGACATTAGCTTCAGATGTTTTTTAAATACATCCCACACATAGAAAAAACGATGTTGATATTGATAACAATCAATAATATAATGTTGTTATTATAGTAAGTAACAATTGAATTATTGAACGTGAATGACAAATTTTTAATCACATAACAATTAACATTTTGTAAAAAAAACATTAGATAGGCATAACTGTCAAATCTGTCTGAAGATGACTATCAGCCAAGTAAACAGCGACAATTTATAAAATTATTTTTATTATATAATGCCAAGCTAAAGCAAATAACATAATACTTGTATATTATGACCTTGAACTGGTCGACCACCATCGTTGGACGGTCAACATTTGAAAAGAACGCGTGCATAAAACATACGAGTTGTTTATATTAATAATTTTTACTTTATACTCGCACATTATCCAAGAGTATTTTATTGAAGTAATTCTTAATTTTTTGTTCCTATACCTCTACTGCCACATTATACCACCCGCAGATAAACTATGACCATTATGAAGTCGGTGTCGCATCGCATGCGAGTCAACTAAAAGTATTTAATTCTATCAACTCGAGTGTAGGCACTTACCATAAGCTCCTCCTTGCAGCGTCTCTCCTCTTCCAGCGACATCCGTTTTTCATGTTTTTTGAAATACTTGCGTTTGGCCGCTTGCAAGTTGAACCATGTGTACGAAAAAGCTTTTACATTGGGCAACAGAGCCTCGATAAATGGATGGAACTCATCCTGGAATAATAAAAAAGCCAAACATTAAATTTACATAAAAAGTGATTCTTATGCAAAACACGAAATACATAAGCAGGTTTGCTCCAATATCAACACTTGGATATTTTACGGTACTATAGAGAGACCACGTGGATCATAAGCTGCCAATTCGCACTGGGTTAGTAGGGATTTCAACGATATCCTCCTCTGGTGCCAGCGACACCGTCGGGGGCTGCCAAACGCACTACCGCAGTCGCCGTGACCCCGTTGGCCAACAGTTCTTATGCAATTGGCATGATACCTACGTTGGTATACAGTCTACAAGTGTACAAATGCAGTCTGAACGTCGAACACCCACAAAAAGGTGTACTACACGTCATGAACGAACAAAGTATTTGAAACTGAACGACAGCTATCAACAAACAGTTGGTTCCTACTTATTTGTATACTTGTTTGATTTCCTACTTAGAGATCTTATGCAGTACTATTAGTAATTCTGAAAAATAACAACGCTGTATTTTCAATAAAATTTCAAGAAAGATTCACTGTACGTATTCACAGGTATGAGCAGTACTTGTCCGTCTCTTAAACAGCAACTACATTTTACAGGAGATTTCACATTTTTTAAAACAAACGTGTAGTATCATATCTTCTCTATACCTACTACTTTAAAACATTTGATATAATTATGTTGATGTAAAATATTGATTAAACAATCAACTATTCACTACCGTTAAACCACAACAGTCCAGCGAAGCCATCTGGCAAGAATAATGAAAACAATACAGTTGACTAGGTCGATTTAAAAATATCACGTTAATGCCAAAATTGTTTTGTTAAAATCTTTTATTAAAAACCATTTACTCTTCAGATTTATCCTTTTATAAAATATGACGAAAGAAACTTAAGAAATGTGTAATTTAATAGGCAATTAAAACTATAATAATATACAATCAATAAATGAACAGTTTTAAATAACTCGGGATGGTATGAGAACAATTTAATTAATATAAACTGGCAATTCAATATACACAGTCTATATCTAGTCAATAGGACATCGAGAATATTTCCATATACTGAAAACACAAACAATTTCTAACGTATCAGTCAAAGCCTAAGCCAAGCGAAAAAAAGTATTTTTTGCACCGTTATACTTATATACATATATATATATTTGATGACTTTACAGGTAAAATAATATTGTTAATGTTAAAAATAACCCATCTTCATTTGCATGCATAATCTTCACAATATTGACATGTAATAAAAATAGCATTGTGTGTGTACGCTTGAAAAGACCACGATCAGATACCAGATCGATAAAAAATCTGGTCGTAATTAATGATACTAACGTTGATACAATTGAGATTCTCCATTCGCGTATGGACATAATTTATTGTAGACAGAACGGACATCTGCAAATCAAAAGTAGTATTTTACGCGGCAGTTGTCGAAAAAGACAAATTGTCGGGGCCTATCGTTCAATAACAGAGATGTCAGTATGTCATCGTTCGATTTAGGACACCGGAAACGTTTGACGTATGCTTCTTACTCCTATTTTTTATCACAACAAGTTAAACAAAGCAATCGTAGTAATTATTCAAATTTAATTCGTTCAATTGTTATTATTATACAAGTGCACACTCCTGTTGGTCTGGAGATCCTGTGGTCTAGAGCACAAAGCGAACGCGCGCACATGCTAGTAGAAAAATCACAGAGGAAAAAATAAAATATAATAAAGAAACGACAACCGCTTACATGTGCTGTGCATTTGAATATATTTAATTTGTATATCCCACATGTGTTGGAAATATTAAGTCGGTTGTTTTAGACTTACACTGTACGCGATGTATACGTTTGCACTTCATGTGTATATATAAAATAATTCAAACGGATAATTTCCATTTACATATTACACGGGCATGCTCACGCTGATGAGAAATTATAGTGACCTCACGTCACAATAAATATTATTTGTATCTCCGAGGGAAAAAATGGCGAATTTAAATAACGCTCATTATGAAAACAAAAAATAAATCAATAAAAATAAGATTAGATAGATGACATGATTTTTAACGCATATGACATAAGAGAAAAAAATTTAAAAGACTTCAAGCAGATCCATTTATATTACGAATATAATATCTATAGATAATATTTAGAGATACATTACGACGAAATTGTAATTATTATTTTTTTTAATTTTAAGCGGAATTTTTAGTATTGCATCATTACTTTATCGAATTGGACTCTTCGATATATTGAAGATCTCGAGTACTTTACTAAGGCAGAAAGAACGTTTCCGTTATCCCCCGTGGAACACTGAGCTTACTTTGTGTATGTAAATTACATGATATCAGCGTCATTTGACCTCAAAATTAAATGGTCGGCCAATAATATATTACATGTAATACAGCCGCAATAGTATCATATCTGAAGCGTTATTACGACCCATCCTCATAATACACACATACCATATCGTTTATCTTCTTCTGTGCCGTATAAGTTATCTATCATCTTATTTTGTTATTTATTTTTTTATCCCAGAAGAAATCTTAATCGGATCGTGTGATGTATGATTATGTGCTCGACTATTAAATAACCTATTATAATAATGCATTCAAATACAAGTGTAATATTTATTTTACAACTCCATAAAACCATTCAAACAACAATGACATCCGAGTTTGCGTACAACAAGAGAACTTATGACTAATGATAACGACTTTTCGAGGAAAAAACACGTTAAACTTGAATTCAATCACATATCATACAATCCCAAATATTTCTGACTGTCGTTAAATTAATGAAACGAGTAATTGTAAAAACGATAAAACTAGGTTTTTTAAATATTTTCATAAAAAATAATTATTTAAATTTTTTTATACTGTTCAAATCGTATCTAATATTTCGTATTTAATTTTTCTTAGAAATGTCTAACAGTTGAAAATTAACTCTCATTAACTTCATGTTATAATCATTACCGATTTCTAAAATTAAAAGATTTAACCATGCATCATAATTTCAAAGACAAATGTCAGTAAAATATACGAACGATTGATTAATCATTTATCTAAAATGATATTTAATTTAATAAAAAACGTAGAAAAAATAAATTTCAAATAAACGCTGTGAATATCGTTGTCCAAAGAGAACTATTATGATTTTTTTTTGTCCGATGAGATACTTGAATTTCAATGGCTAATTTGCCAATGCACGCGAGTTCTACAATAACCTGTTTGAACGATTGACAAACCGATTTGCGGACTTTCTGGTCGCGCGTGCAACGTGAATTCAACGAGGCAAATAAATATTACTCTTTTCTGTGTATCAGACGCGTTCAATAAAATAAACTACAGTTAAGACAATGTAAATACATTTTTATGCAGCGCAGTAATTTCGTTCCCGACTGTTCATATCGCTCTATGAACTCTTTATTTTTTGCGGCCCAGTGGGAGGTCATAAGCCGACCAAAGAGTATAACCATACCGATTTCCACGGTTTGGATTGTCCGCGGTCGAGATCAACAATAAACCGAGTTGGGATATTTTTGAACCGTGACGAACACATGCACAGATGCAGCCAGTAGGCAAAATCGGTACACACTCTCACTGACACGGCCGGCTTCTGGGTTCGACTTAGCTAAAACGCGAGCTAAGCAGTACCGTCTCCGCTCATTGCATACTACTACATCGTTGGCTATTTATAGATCCAAAAGAGGCTTATCCGTCAGTGCGGAGTCACTCTGAACGGCTAAAAACTTGCATAACCGTCATGCGCATGGAGTATAAGGTCGACAACCTTGTTTCTCCTACTCGATTAAAAAATAAATAGAAATTAAAAGAAAAAAGACATTATTATCGCATATTGTGTATACGCGAAGAGACACAACACTACACTAGCAGCGGAGGGACACCCACATTCCCCCGGCACTGTCGTATATTTCTATAAAACATGGGAGTTATATATACCCGTTCAGCTATGTATTATAGCCCATGTAGAGGCACTACCTATACTATACGCGTAACATGATACCTACCTCGTGGACACCATCTCCCCCGAAGAATGCCCTGTACTCTTGGCGGACCCTCCCTATCATTCTGGTACGCTTTTACTCGCCATATAACGTGAAATGTTCACGCGAACTCTCACACAAATCCGAGTTACTGTCATTGTCACTTTTTAGTCAGATAACATTACCATCGTTTCGAGATTGAATATCGGTAAATCAAATAAATCGTTTAGTCGCAATGGTTGTCCATCACTTTTTTAAAACTTTATTAAGTCGATAAAGAATGACTGATTATTTAAAAAGATAAGGAGAATTAGAACAATTTCAACGATAATATCAACTTCGTGTTGGATACGAAACCAAACACTCAAAAAGGGGTTTTATGCGTTTGAACTTCTTAAATATGATTAGAAATTTTTTTTTTTTATTTTAGTATCTTTATGAAACCACTGTCAGACTTTTTAATCATTAGTATAAACTTGAAATAAGAGCTTCGAATGAATGTTATAACACATCTCGATGAAACTACTATTAGTTAATTATTTTGAACTGTACAATAAAGATTCGCCTATATTAAAATGTCAACTATTCATTGATAATATTATTGACAGATAATAGAATGAAATCTCTTTTGGAATTTTTCGATTTTGATTTTTATGAATAATTGATTAGTTAAAGTAAATTATGATTGAATTATTATAATTTTTTAAGTTAAAGTGAGGAATTAATTAACTTAACTGTTTTAGAGAGTGCCAACAAAAAGCTGAAAAGCACAATAAACGCAATTTACGTACAAATACAATTATAAAAAAACAAAAGGGGATAGAAAACAACACTGAATAGGCTTTGTTTTGATTGTGTTAGGGATGGGAACTAAAAATAATAACAAGTAGGGAGAAGGTGTGTATGACCTTACACTAAAACTACGTATTTAATAGGCAAATCGGAGTGGATATGGTGTGTCTTTGCACATTGGGGTATGTGTAGTCCGCGGCACCATATAGCGTCA